ATCTGAAAGGTTATTTTATTAGATTTTAGTATAGAGCGCATTTGTCTAAGCTTATATAAATTCATCATCTATCTGAAAGGTGTCATCTATCTGAAAGGTCATTTTATTAGATTTTAGTATAGAGCGCATTTGTCTAAGCTTATACAAATTCATCATCTATCTGAAAGGTTATTTTATTAGAATAACTTTTATCATATCAAATTTCTGTTCATAAATATAAATATATATATTCATGGATGATATTCATTTCTAAACATCATATACTATATTGTTATCATTTATAGTGAAACTGTTATCACTACTATCATTTATAATTTAATCAACAATTATGATTGATAATAATTTGTGAATGAAAATTAAAAAAATGAATTAAATGAATTTAATTCGAGTAAGAATTTAAGAGTTTAATGAATTTTAATTTAATTATTTTTAGCTGAACAAATTATCCAGTCATGTTGGTCTTGGTAGTAATATGGGAAATAATAACATAGATAGCAAAGGAAAATTAAATTTTAATCGATCACATTTGGCTAAACTTGTACAAATTCATCAACATGATGATGATGAATTCATTTTGGCTAATGATATTTTAAAATCGATTGGAAATGAAAAAGTTGGAAAAGGCGATAATTTACATCGCTACATTGAAGCTGCTAGATTTGTTGCTGAAGTATGATTAATTCAAATTAATTATATTAATTTTTATATAACTAATTAAATTAATTTATATGTAAATGAGTAATTGAATGGATAATTTTCATTCATTTTATTGTTTTACTTAATTCTTTGTTTACTTTTTCTCCTTTAAACAACCATACAATTATTACAAAACTTCCTAAACAAACAACAAAAAAAAAAAATACATTTAGTAAAATTTATTTTTCAAAAAAAAAATTTGAGATATTTGAAATTGTTAAAGTATAATTAATTCAAATTAATTAATCGATTCCTACATAGGTAAATTTTTTTTTTAGAAATATATTACATAAAAATTTAAATATATTATTTTATTTTAGAATTGTGCTAATCAAGGAATTATTAATTTACCAGTGGTATTTACTTTAAGTAAAAATGACTTAGAAAAGAATAATTCGATCAAATATGGGCTAACATTGGATAATTCGATTTCGATCACTTCAACAATTAATCGTAAACATCGGAATTTTTTATCAATTGCTCAATGGAATGCTTATTTATATTATGTAAGAGATAAAAAACAAAAATGAATAAATAAATAATCATCTAAAATTCGTCCTTCCTAATGTTTGCATAAGTAGAAAAAAAAAAAAAAAAAAGCAAAGAAATGCTAATATTTTAATGCAAATCATTGAAAATAATAATAAATTATGAAGTGAAAAAAATTTTTTTTATTTTGATAGAAATTATCAAACAAATTCTGGTTGAACTTTGAACTTTTTGATTAATATTTTTTTAAGATAAGTATTAATTAAAAAGTATTGAATAAGAATAAAATATATTGAGAAATTTTAAATAAGATAGGAATTATTGAAAGTAATATTTTTTGAAATTTTTAAAAGTAACATTTTTAGGAAATCATTAAAAATAATAGCATTTTCAGGAATGTCGTTTTCCGAATAGAAATTCTGGTGGAGCATTTTTGTATGGTAATAGAAGACGACATTTATATGATGATAATGATAGCCGAGAAATTAGTTCATCAACATCAGCTTCAGGTATAACATTTTTTTATCATTATCATAATTATTAATTTGTAAATTTGTTAACTTTTACAATAGATAATTAATAAAAAAAAAGAGAAAAAATGTTTAAACTATTAAATTATTTATCAAAAGAATAAAAAAAAGAAAGAACTAAATTGTTTAATATTTTTGGTTATAATTTAATTTTTAATCTAAAATCTAAAATCGAACTTTTAATTTGAAATTATTGATATTTCGGTAATTTAATTTATAATTTAATTTTTAATTTGAAATTTTTTTTTTCAAATTTTATTAATTTTAGATCATTCATCTTTGATGCTTTCACATCATTATGCATCATTGGAACGTTGCAAAGCACATACATTGGGTACTATTCCACGTTTTCGTAGTCGATCACGTGAAACAATTAAGCGTAATAATATAATTAATGGTGGTGTTGATGATAATGATGATGATGATGATAATGATGATGATGATGATGGCGGTCGTAATTCACCATCACGTTCATCATTAAATCAATATATTTTTTCAGACAAAGATGGTGAACGTTTAAAAAAGTAATTTCTTTTTTTTTTTTTGGTTTTAAATAAAACAATGAATTCATTTAAATTGTAATTTTCCCTTTAGAAATATTAACTACCTTTATTCGTAATTTCGAGAAATAATTAATTAATTTAAAATCATTATTTTGAAAATATGTTTTAAAATAATTAAAAATTATTTCAAATGATTCAACTTTTAGAAATTATAGAATACATCAATTGATTTAATTCATAATTTCTTATATATTAATTATTTGCATTCGTAACTTTGGAAATTAATTAGACAATTTTAATTTATGTTATAAAATATTTTAATAGCAAATGTCTAATATGATTTTACACTTATCACATCTTGTAATTAATTAATTTTAATTTATTTTATAAGTGATTTCACGCTTATCATATTTTGTAATTTACATTAATCATAGAAGTGCTTCTACGCCAACGCTTGATACGCTTGTTTGGCGGTGTTCTTTGAATGATAATAATCATTTGGATAGGATGAAACAAAAGTTAAGCAATATATCAGCAACAAAATCTGCTACCTATGATAATGCATATCATGAACGAAGGAGACAAAAAGTTACCGAAGGTAGAGAAATTTTAATTATTTTATGAAATTTTTATATAAATTAAATACCTTAATTTCAAATGTTAAATATTTTACTGTAGTTACTAAAATTTTGTTTTTTAAAAAATTTGAAATTTTAATTTAATTGCTAATAAAAAAATAAATTTGTTTTCTTCTTCTATAAAATTAAATATTAGCAATTAAATATCTCAATTTCAAATTCAAATATTTCAATTCAATTATCTAGAATATAATGGATATGTGTGCATGTAAACCTTTTTTTTCAAAAAAAAAGAAAAAATATTAGCAACTAAATATATGAATTTCAAATTTGAATACTTTTAATTTCAATTACAGATTTGATATGGGAAAAGCTAAACAAAGCAGGTCTTGGTAAATATGTTAATTTGCTAAAAGATGAAGAAGTTGATAAAGGGACATTTTTAGCGTTGACAAACAATGATCTCATTGATATTGGTATCACTGATGTGACACATCGAAATGCACTCCTTCGAATTGCTAAAAGCCTAAGATATTGATAATGGATTAATGTTATAATTAAAATTGATTGATATTTATAATTGAATAAAAATTACTGTCAAACGAATTAACAGAGTAGTGATAAGCTAATGATAAGCCGCTTTTTTAGGAAGGGGAAAATTACTGATAAAACATGTATAATTTCCATAATTGTATCAATATATATTATGAGAAAAAGAAAAAAGTTTGGTTAGCATTAAATGTATTCAATATTTCTTATTTTCAATTATTTAGTATTTCATTTATTTATTTCATCCAGCTCCATTTCTATCCATTTCCTACATTTGACATCATTTCGCTATTTAACAGTTAGTATTTGATTTGATTCTTAATTGTTATTTGTATTTGATTTAATTTAAATATTTGATTCAATTTTATTTTTATCTCATTCCTATATTAGGCTCATTTAATCATTTAACAAATGAGTATTTAATCTAATACCATTTCTATCCGATCTCTATATTAGGCCTATTTAGTAGTTAGTATTTCATTTAATTCCATTTCTATCCAATTCCTACATTCGGCTCATTTAATCCAATTTCATTTCTATTCGATCTCTATGTTAGACTTATTTGGTAGAATTTAATTATTTTCAATTATTTAGTATTTCATTTATTTATTTCACCAAATTTAATTAATATTTAATTCAATTCCATTTCAATCCAATTCTTACATCAAACATGAAGTATTTTCTTCTTTTTCGTTGTCTACGTATTTCTCTTTAATTTTCACATTATAATTGATATACTTCCATATTTCTCATATGCTTTCATGTTTTTTTTTGTTTTACCTATCGTCGAATGAAATGAACAAAGAAATATAAGATAAATAAGATTTATTCAACTAGTTTCATTGTCCACTTTTAATACTGATAATTTCTTATCATATTGTTGATAGTTACACAAATATTTTCACCATCAAAGAAGCATTTTCATATCAAAATTGATCAATCAAAAGAACTGGATACATTTTTCATCATAAATCATATTGTAATGATTGATAAATGAATTATTTGAGCATAATGATAAGAAGGATTGATTATCTTATCAGCATTTCTCTCTAATTCAAATGTTTAAAATAAAAATTACTTTTAAATTAATTTAGACATTTTATTTTTTTTTTGATTTAAAATGAAGAAGGAGGAAAAAATTTTTTTCTTTTCTTTTTGTTATTGAATTTTTTTATCAACAATAGTATTTAAA